AATACTTAGGACCATGTTATATTTCAGTTTTTCTTTTTTAATAAATCTGCAAAAATGTCAACAATTCTGTGTTTTTCTGTCAATATGGGGTGCTGTGTGTACATTAATGAGGAAAAAAAATTAACTTAAATGATTTTAGCAAATGGCTGCAATATAACAAAGAGTGAAAAATTTAAGGGGGTCTGAATACTTTCCGTACCTACTGTATATATATATATATATATATATTTATTTATTTATTTATTTAAGTTTAGTTATTTTTCCCCATAGGTTTTTAACATTCTAAAAGCTCTTTATTTCAAATATACTACAAGCTAGTCAGTGTATTCAGTAGGTTTAATGTATTCTAAGTTGTTTCAGAAGTATTGCAAGTATTACATACAACAATAAAACAGTGCATTGACATAAAAAAGGAAATTTACTTTTGGTACTTAAGTACTTTCAAAAGCAAGTACTTCTGTACTTTTACTTAAGTAAAAATCTGTCTTTACAACTTTTACTTGTAATGGAGTAATATTTGGCCAGCGGTATCTGTACTTTCACTCAAGTAATGGAGTTGAGTACTTTGTCCACCTCTGCTCCTAAGCGATTGAGGTGTTCTGTTGTTGGATGTAATAATGAACATAGCAGACGTCATTTACTCCTGCATTTAAAGGAAAATGCTACAAAAACGGCTTGATCTGAAAAGAGCTGTTTTTGACAGGGTAAAAAAGGGGTTTTTTACACTACCATTGAGAAATTTTAACTAAACTATGTTACAGACTTTTCATTAAGACCCTAAAGAATCATATCAACTTGTGGAAAATGGGCATCCTATGACCCCTTTAAAGACTCACAGTCTGTGCAAACACATTCGGTTTCGGTGACAGGTGGTCTGCTGTAGGATCAGCACTGGAATGTTGTTGATCCATTTTTAGACTAGCCATGTGGACAAAAGTGGAGAGCGGTGCTGTTGGAATCTCACAGCTTACGAGGGGTGGTTTGGGTCGACTTTTTGGTTGAGATAAGAACGAGTGTTGGGAAAAGGACATATATATTTCTTGACCACTTTACTCACTCATTTTGGGCCCTTAAATATTGTTGAGCACCCCCTACAGTCTCTTTAGTGCAGGTAGTCAACATTAGACAATATGTGTGTGCTTTTTTCCTCTCTGGATTGATTCCACACCTGTCTGTGTCAGTCAAGGGAAAAGCTGTTCAGAAAAGCCCTGGATGGGCACGACAGAAACAGTGTCAGCTCATTAACTTACAATGCCAAAGAGATTAGCTTACATCTGAAAGAGTTGCAGGACAAGGATGAAAAGTCCTACAAGGTGGAATGGATCGTTATTGATCCTGAGGGATTCACAGGTGAGATCTGACAGAAAGATTTGTATCTTTTTCTGCTGTTTCATCCAAATACACAATCTATCTGTCTCCTTTCTTGCAGAAAATGGCGAGTGGGAAATTGTTCACAAGCCTGCCAGGAAAAACATTTATAAAAACATCCCAATGGAAAGCAACAAGCACCAGGATATCACCTTTTACCTCATCATTAGACGTAAACCTCTGTTCTACGTTGTCAACATCATCATTCCCTGCGTGCTCATCTCTTTCCTGGCCTCTCTCGTCTACTACCTGCCTGCAGACAGTGAGTGATCCTGCCGTTTACTACACTTTAAAGCTCATAGACCCCATATTGTCACAATATGACAGAAATACCATGACAGGGTATTGAAAGAAGCAGTTAATATGTTTGTTACATATATCAGAATACATATATGTTTGTTTGTTACATATATTAAAATTCATATATGTTACAAAACGGTATGTCATTACATCTTTTTCCTGTTTCAGGTGGTGAGAAGATGACATTGTCCATCTCTGTGCTGCTGGCTCTGTCTGTGTTTCTGTTGCTAATTTCACAGCGTCTGCCTGAGACGTCTATGGCAGTTCCCTTAATTGTGAAGTATGCCAATATCAGATATATTGCATGAGAATGTTTCAGTATCACTAATACAGAATAAATTCACAAAGCTATTGACGATACTAAAGTATTGATTTTAAACACAAATACACAGTGTTTTTTTAAAGAAGTTATTTATCTATTAGCAACAGTAAAATAGTAATAAAATAGTAATACAATGAATTTTTTTGAATTTGACAGGTATCTGATGTTTATCATGGTACTGGTCACTGTGGTGGTGCTGAATTGCGTAATTGTGCTCAACTTGCATTTTCGGACCCCCAGCACCCATGTCATGACCAAATGGACCAAAGAGGTCAGGCCCTCACTTGTCTGTGCGATAATTAAGTTTTTTTGCATGTGAAGCTAATAATCTCATGCATAATCAACTTTGACTATTGTGTCCAAAAATTTAGATTTTTTTATTGATGTGTGTAATAGTAGCAGCATATGCATGGAGAAATTTGCATAGCATATGCATAGAGAATTTTTAAAATTATTTTCATGTTCACCATTAACATTCTGTAGTATTTTGTCTAAGTAAATAAAAAATAAAACACTAACAATAGCAAAATCAAGTAATTTAAATACTTTCAATGAATTTTGATCTCACATTATATGAAAAATGGTATTGAGATTTGCTAAAGATTACATTTATTTATTTTTACTTATTTATGCATTCAGCAGATGCTTTTATCCAAAGTAACTTATAAAAGAGATACAAAAGCAATGACAATTTTTTTTAAATTTACTCACCCTCAGGATGTCCAAGATGTAGATGTATTAAACATTAGAATTACATCACTTGTTCAGCAATGGATCCTCTGCAGTGAATGGTTGCCATCAGAATGAGAGTCCAAGCTGATAAAAACATCATAAAAATCTATATGAGAGCCACACAAATCCAGTTGAAAAACTACAAGCTGTGTCTTTGGAAGAAAGAAATCCAACTTCTTTTTAACTGCTTCCAGCAAAAACACAAGTCCTATATCCATAATATTGCTTTCTCCAGTGAAAATGTTTTCTGAATCAGGAGAGAGATATGCACAGATTAAGCACCATTTACAAGCGAAAACAGTCCAAAACAGTTCTATGTTCAAAATGTTCAGTTCTATAAAAATGTGGATTTGGATGTGAGAGGACAACAGGGCATGGACTTTTTCATGGAAGAAAGCATTATTAGGGATTTTGGCCAGAAGCAACAGTTTAAAGTTAAAACAACTTAATTAGTTCACCCAAAAATGAAAATTGGCTTGTGTTTTACTCACCCTCGAAGCATCCTATGTGTATATGACTTTCTTCTTTCAGATGAATCCAGTCGAAGTTATATAAAAAATTGTCCTGGCTATTCCAAGCTCTGTCATTGCAGTCAGCGGGTGTTGCAGTTGAACAGTCCACAAGTCGTTAAATAAAGTTCGCGCATTCATAATAAAACGTGCTTCACACAGCTCTGGGGGGTGAATAAAGGCCTTCTTTAGTGAATCCATGCGTTTTTGTAAGAAAAATATTCATATTTCAAATGTAATAAACACGTTTCTATCACTTCCACCAACTGCCAGTGACGAACGCGGAGAGACAACAAAACAAAACGCCGGTCACTAAATAGAAGAACAAACCGAAGATTTGCAAAGGAAAAAGTCAGAGGGTTTCGATATAAGGCAAGATGAGACTGGTTTTCCTTTGCTAAAGTAAGGAAACTTTGCTTCCATTGCTCCTGTAAACAAACTCGCGAGACTAGCATATCTCAGAGGCGCATGCGCTGATGACAGACACCGGAAGTGAGAGAAAAGTGTTTATTACGTTTGAAATACAGATATTTTTCTTACAAAAACGCATGGATTTACTACAGAAGGCCTTTATCCACCCCTCGGAGCCGTGTGAGGCACGTTTTATTATGAATGCGCGCGCTTTGCTTGACGACTTGTGGACTGTTCAACTGCAACACCCGCTAACTGCAATGACAGAGCTTGGAATAGCCAGGACAATTTTTTATATAACTTCGACTGGATTCGTCTGAAATAAGAAAGTCATATACACCTAGGATGCTTCGAGGGTGAGTAAAACACAAGCCAAGTTTCATTTTTGGGTGAACTAACCCTTTAATTATGGATTTGTTTCTTACAAACACACAGCTTTTTACATAAGACATTAACACTGTAGTACTCTACAATACTCCACTACACAATAGTGAAGGATTGAAGTATTTTGTGATTGTTATGATTTTTTTAAAATCATTTTTATATATTTAGCTGTTTAGACTCTCATTCAGATGGCACCCATTCACTGCAGAGGATCCATTGGTGAGCAAGTGATGTAGTGCTAGATTTCTCCAAATCTGTTCTAACAAAGAAACAAATTCAGCTATATTTTGGATGGTCTGAGGGTGATTACTTTTTTAGCAAATTTTCATTTGCACTATTTCTTTAAAGACTGCTCATCTTGTCTGCTACAGTTCTTTTTGGAGCGACTGCCTCGTCTACTCCGCATGTCCCGTCCATCCGATGACAAACCCAGCCTGGAGGGGGCGCTGCCGCGGCGTTCCAGCTCAGTGGGGTACATCGCCCAGGCCGAGGAGTACTATAGTGTTAAATCACGCAGCGAACTGATGTTTGAGAAGCAGTCTGAGAGGCATGGCATGGCTGCTCGCCCCACTCCCAAAGCTAGTCAGTCCCACATGATCAGCATGACACTTTAAACTCACATTATGATGATATTTAAGTAATGCCGAGTTCACACTGCACGATTTTCAAACTCGTCAGATCGCCGTTGTTTTCACACTGCGGGACTCTCACGGGCGTCGGCTACGTGTCGGCGATTCCCTCAGATCACGTCTTTGATAATTCACACTGTGTGGTTGTCACTCGCGTGAACGAGCACCAGTTTGCCTCCGATTTTGGGCATTTGTCGGCGATTTCGCAAAACCTGTCGGCGAGTGAAAAATCGGGCTAAAATCGTGCAGTGTAAACTCGGCATAATGCCAAGTTCACACTGCACGATTTTCAAACTCATCGGATCGCCGTTGTTTTCACACTGCGTGACTATCTGGGGTAGCATTCACTTGCTGCTGTGTTCACATTGCACAATGGATCTGCGACAGGGGGTTTCACATTGCATGACTTCACAATAGGAAGAATCGCCGACAGCTCTGTCTGGTGCAGGGTTGCCAGGTTTTCGCTACAAAACCCGCCCAATTACTACTCAAAACTAGCCTGAAAATAGCCCAATTGCTTTCGAGGGGGTCCCCCAGTAAAGTTGGGGGGAGGGGGATACACATTTTCTTGGCGGGGTTCTCCTGGTACAATTCACATTCCAGGGCCTAAATTTCACATTACTGGGGTCGCATAAAAAACAACCGGCGGCAATCGCGGATTTGGTAACACTATTCTGCGAACTATGTTTCATATAACTCCTCCCCGAACTTCCCGCTGCCCTGTGGGGGGAGGGGGATACACATTTTCTTGGCGGGGTTCTCCTGGTACAATTCACATTCCAGGGCCTAAATTTCACATTACTGGGGTCGCATAAAAAACAACCGGCGGCAATCGCGGATTTGGTAACACTATTCTGCGAACTATGTTTCATATAACTCCTCCCCGAACTTCCCGCTGCCCTGTATCTTGGTCTTTCATTGGCTGTAGGTCATCGCAGATGTCGTTTTCAGTCAGAACTCATTTCACACAGCGTGATTGTGAATCGCCGACAGCTCCAGATATTTAGCATGCCAAATATCTCACGGGCGTCGGCGACGTGTCGGCGATTCCCTCAGATCGCGTCTTTGATAATTCACACTGTGTGAACCAGCACCGATTTGCCTCCGATTTCGGGCATTTGTCAGCGATTTCGCAAAACCTGTCGGTGAGTGAAAAAGCTTGCTAAATAAGTGCATTGTGAACTCGGCATAAGTGTTATCACAGTTTAATACCATTTAAAGAGTAAATTCTTCACAGCGTACACATCCAGTAATGACTCAGAGGTGTCAGAACAGCTGTACAACGAGATGAAGCCAGCTGTGGAAGGAGCCAATTACATCGTTAAGCACATGCACGACAAAAATGACTATAATGAGGTAAGAAGACAATTAAATCTAACGTTGCAGGAGATGGTTAGATATATATGTAGATAGGAGCTTGCTGCATGAATCCGTGAGTACAGTTTACAAACCCGAGGGAACGGATTGCGAAAGCGTGCGCACGGATTATGAATTTGTGGATACGGATTCAATCCAATTCCTCTTTTAACCCTGAAAAGCTTGACATATAAAATAATTTATAAAAAGTGTTTTTTTAACCAAACAGACTTTTAAACCTTTAGACAAAATGTGTTAAGAATATTTGATACAGCAGGGTTTCATAGTAATTAAAGTATAAAAAAAATAAAAAAAATAGTTGCATCTAGTATTTCTGAATCATTTGTAGTGATGTTTTTTTTTTTTTTTTTTTAGCTTTTTTGCATATTGCTTTTCAAAGCAGATTTAAAAATCCTGTAATTACCATCAAATCGATGACTTTATCTAGTAGAAAAATGGTCCACATGTCAAAGATTCATTCTTAAAGTACTTGAGCTATTATACAGCACCACAGGAACAGGAGAAGGAGAAAAGCAACTGGAGTGAAAAATATAGAGGTTTGATTATGCATAGTGTAATAGACCATAGTTGATTCATTCAATCTTTAGGTCTAAAATACATCCTGTCATTAAAGTACATAAATCTTCCTTGGTGGTGGAAACACAGAGAAGCAGACACAGTAAAAACATGTTTGAAATGGAGAAAACTTGATTTTGTGTGCAAACCTACCCATGCAAATGTCACTGTCATGATGCAAGGGTTTGTGGTTGTTGCCAGGGTGTTGCTATGTGGTTGCTAGGGTGCGTTGGGTGGTTGCTAGGGGGTCACTTACTGTCCCCAGTCAAAAGAGCCCACCTTTATATTTTCCCCCCACTTTAATGTAAGTCAATGGGATTTTTTGCTTAATTTTTGTCTGCCATGTGAAAAAAAAGAAGACTGTCTTTGATTTGCACAAGTAGTCCAATTTAGCACTCTCCCTATCAGTACACACACAATCCTGTTATTTAAGCCACTGCTTGGAGGCTCTAGTAAACTCAGACTAATTTTTTTTTGCAGAAAAGACCAAGCCTCAGATAGGAGGCCACACTGTCCTCTCTAGAGTGTATTTGCCCCATTTAGATGAAATGAGGATTTTCCCGTCCCGCCATTACAGTCCAAGGCCCTTCCCTCCAGCTCAACCCTTGCTGAAGTTGTGAAATGAATAATTAATAGTCCACATGCTGTGAGTTATTAAGTGAAAATAACTCAGTGCTCTGTCATGTCTGGAAAATGATCTGGAAGTTGGTAGTAACTTTGATCGATTGACTCTTTAAAACCTTGTTATTGTGGTCCACACAAATTGGCTTTGAGATTGGATCTGAAATCTAAACTGGAGATTAATCCAAAGTTGCTGACAGTGGGGGGCCGAAGAATAGATCTATATCCCCACCACGGGGACCCCAGCTCCTCTAGACATTTGTCCATTGGTCTTGATAGAATGGCTTAATGGCCTGCAATCGCTCTATTGGAGAGTGTTTGTTTAGCTTTGTGGAAACGGTCATCCATCAGCTGAGTGGTTATGCTATTATAGTGAGAGAAAGAGAGAGAAAAGCTCAAACCAGCGAGACTAATAGCTTCAAGAAGGCTCATCAAACATGCACTGTGACTACTGAACCAAAGTGATCTATCAATTTAGTTGAGTAACACTGATGTAAGAAAGTATCATGTACTAAAAGCAGAAATGTAAAGCTCATATTTTTGTTAAAGGACATTTACGAATTCTTACATTTTATATTTGTAAATATGTTAATCATCAATCGCATTTCCCATAATTTCTGGAATCGGATTAGAATCTCAACTTGCAATGCCCAGTCTGTGAAGGAAACACTCTTTTTTAGATAGTTTGTTCCCATGAATTGATGAGCGCGTTAACAAAACCCTAACTGGTTAATAAAAACTGGGTCGCAATTCAGTCCAAATCATTCAGGCAGTTCTTTTTGTGACTTAATAAAACAGTAACACGATACTTCATAACACAGAGAACAAACAGAATGATGGATTAAGTGAATATTTATCTACAATCAGAAACATACCTGCAAAATCATCCTAATGTTTGCCAGCGATAAGGACTTGAATTTCAACACCTGCACGTATAACGTCTTGTGAAGGACTCTAACTCTGCAGGTAAACACATTTTCCAATCAAAGAGCTACAAAACATTAACATTAACCTGAAAACATCAAAAGTATATATACATTTTTTTTTTTTGAATATATATTTTGGAGTGTTTGTACTTATTTATGGGTTTGTGCACACTTGTATGCTAAGTTGCAATGTATTTTTCTGTTCATCTGCCTATTTATGAATCAAATTGTTGTTAATGTAGTTTTGATTTGTTAGTGATTAAAAGGACAGCTTTCTGTCCCTATATACTGCCATGGTTCAACACCTGCACGTATAACGTCTTGTGAAGGACTCTCACTCTGCAGGTAAACACATTTTCCAATCAAAGAGCTACAAAACATTAACATTAACCTGAAAACATCAAAAGTATATATCAATGTTTTTTTGGAATATATATTTTGGAGTGTTTGTACTTATTTATGGGTTTGTGCACACTTGTATGCTAAGTTGCAATGTATTTTTCTGTTCATCTGCCTATTTATGAATCAAATTGTTGTTAATGTAGTTTTGATTTGTTAGTGATTAAAAGGACAGCTTTCTGTCCCTATATACTGCCATGTTAACACGAGTAATGTTTTTCTTTAGTGTGTATTTTACATTTTTATTCTTGTAAATACATATTTGTTTTGATTCCTTACAAACTGTGGAGAAATTTTCTGTAATAACTGGCAGCATGACAGAGATACCGATTATTCCTTTAACAACATGCTTCCAAAAGGAAACTCTGGCTTAAAGGGAACAAGTATGCAACCTCTCAGCTTGTTCTCAGGACACACAGGTATCTTGGTGCAACACAAACATATTCCACCCAGCTTTGTTTATTAGGGATAAGCAGCCCTGTGGTAGCTGTCAGACAGCACTGCTAACCCACTTCATTTTACAAAACAGCATACGCTCTCTCTTTTTGCCATTTGAGTAGAGTAGGAGCAGCATGGATTGGGGAATATATTGAACGTCTCCACAACATCTAGGCCAGCAGGAAATAAAATAAACTCTAGTTCCTCCCACTCAAAAGCAGCAATGCGTTCTGAAGCCGGTCCCCCCTCCATCCATCTGGAGGTGTTTGTTTACCACCCTGTTTGCACAGCAAAAACAGCATAAGGAAGCCGAGCTGACAGAATCTTTCTATCTGACGTTCGATTACCTCGGGAAGCAGTGCTTTCCCTGCTTCTCATAGCACTTGTCCAAGAACAAAGGACAAGCTTTTCTGTTGTGTCTAAAACTATGATATCCAGATCTCACTCTAAGCATGTGATTATTACGAGATCACAACTCGTATATACAGTACATTAGTAAACCTGCCTGGCAATACTATTAAAGAAAACATACATAAAAAGTGAGATCAATCTTTTTTGTTTTGCTTAAAGGTGCTAAAAAAGGACTGCAAATTTAGCTCATGTCTGTGTATGATCAGAAGGGGGCACACTATCCCAAATGTGCGAGAATAGAACTAAAATGTCATACACTGTGACAAAGATCAGTTTCAAAAGCAGTTGCGGCCACACACAGCTCTGCTAAAAGAGCACACTTAGGGGACAAATATGAAATCAGGCGCTAAAAAGCCCATGAATCAGCCTGTGCTGCAAATGAATCTGACAGCTCCTTTTTTCCTGCTCTGATTCTTTCCTCCCTGTGTGATTAAGAGTGCAGGTTTATGGGGCAGAGCCCACTGATCACTGAATCTCTATGGTGAGGTCCCACGGAATCTGTTGTATGATTCATGCTGACATACTGGGGCCTGATCTGGGCCCGACTCCAGCCTCCTGGCTCCATCTGCTCTGGTTCTGAAGGAAGGATGAGTTGGAACAAAATCAATAGGCAGCCAGGATGAAGGCCAGGGATGATGGTGAACTGCCGAAACTGTCCATGTTGGATGAGTTTGCTAGGCCACTTCAATTTATATAGAAAACACTCGAAAAGGTTTCGTTCAGCATCATATGGCAAACCATGACATATTTTCTCATCTTTTTTTAAACAGAAATGTTTATGACAAAGTACTTTATTATATTTGTGTTTCAGTGAATCAGTTAAAGATGTCTAAGACAGAAATCCTAAGGCAAAGAAAGTTGTTTTTCTATTTTAGACATGGCTGCCAACAATGATAAAGCACAATAAACAAAGTTTTTCTACCTAACTGTTATGCTAAAAACCCTAGTGCTTCTTTTGAAATTCAAGGGTATTTTTCTTTACATTTTAGAGTCAAGGCCAACATTTCTGGCCAAAACAATAGTCAAAATAATGTTTTTGCTGTTTCATGACTGCTTGTTTTGTGTTCCACAGTAGTTTTAGGTTTTGCAAGGTTCCAGTTGAGGCAACATCCCATCTAGTTTAACAAAGTTTTGTTAAATGAGCTGCATATTTCACATATTCTCATGGAAATTAAAATCATTTAATAGCGTTTTAAGACTTTAGGGTATGATCTTGACTTTCAGAAATTGACTTTCAAAAATATCCACTAGAGTGAAATGTGTGGCAACTAGCACCGATTGACCTCCCATTTATGAATCTTTGAGTTATTCCTGTCACTCTTATGGTTTACGCTATCATAGTCCTCCATCATTTTGGTTTAGACCATAACATTAGCCACATATAGTCCCATAGGTGGCCAAGTCTCATGCAAATATAGCCCCTCTATGAGCATCATTACATATTCCAGACAAATACTTTGCGTGCACTGCTTTTATAGAGTTTCTGAAGCAGGGCGAACCAGCGTGTCCTCATTAAAATGAATACAGCCGAAAGCCTTTTATCCTCGTGGGAAATAAACCGAGCGCGCGAGTCAAATTCACTTTGCCGCACCACCCACAGGATTGAATCAACGCTCGCCGCTGCCTTTGGAAGCGACGTCAATTGAGTCCCCGTGCGTACGCCGCACATTTCTCTCTGTCTTACTC